ATAAAATATATATTTTTTATTTCAGAGAGGAAGGGAGAGGGAGAGAGATAGAAACATCAATGATGAGAGCCATCCATCAGCTGCCTCCTGCTCACCCTCCACCGAGGATGGAGCCCGCAACCCAGACATGTGATGTGCCCTCAGCGGGAATCGAACCGTGACCTCCTGGTTCCTAGGTGGACGCTCAACCACTGAGCCAACCAAGGGGTTATGGCCGGGCTCCATAACCCCTTAATAGTTTTTTGTTGTTATTGGTATTTATCTTTATTTTTTCCCCTTAATAGTTTTCTGATGCTATTTGACCTCCTGCTTTGCCTCAGCATCCCTTATCCATATTGGTTATTGTGTGTATGAGTGTGGTATTCAAAGTGCAGGGGACGCGTCAACTCCATATTCTAATGGCTATTATAAGACCTGGCCCAGCCCTAACCGGTTTGGCTCAGTGGATAGAGCGTCGGCCTTCGGACTGAAAGGTCCCAGGTTCGATTCCGGTCAAGGGCATGTACCGTGGGGGGTGTGCAGGAGGCAGCCCATTGGTGATTCTCTCTCATCATTGATGTTTCTGTCTCTCTCTCCTTCTTCCTTCCTCTCTAAAATCAATAAAGAAATAAGAAATATTTTTTTTAAAAAGAAATAGACCTTAATATTAAAAATAATAATAAAATAAAATATATTTTTTTTATTTCAGAGAGGAAGGGAGAGGGAGAGAGATAGAAACATCAATGATGAGAGTCATCCCTCAGCTGCCTCCTGCTCACCCTCCACCGAGGATGGAGCCCGCAACCCAGACATGTGATGTGCCCTCAGCGGGAATCGAACCGTGACCTCCTGGTTCCTAGGTGGACGCTCAACCACTGAGCCAACCAAGGGGTTATGGCCGGGCTCCATAACCCCTTAATCTACAGTGGATAGAGCATCGGCCTGCGAACGGAAAGGATCCGGGGTTCGATTCTGGTCAAGGGCACTATATCTTTTCAATAGTTCATCTATCTGGCAACTTGTCAACGTTTTGTTTGTTTCCCCCCATGCTTTCTTTCATCAAACAGAAATCTCTGTTTTGAGGTGAAAGCCATATGTGGTTTGGCTCCGTGGGTAGAGCGTCGGCCTGCGAACTGAAAGGTCCCGGGTTCGATTCTGGTCAAGGGCACATACATGCCCAGGTTGTGGGCTCGATCCCCAGTGGGGGACTGGCAGGAGGCAGCCGGTCCATGATTCTCTCATCGTGGATGTTTCTATCTCTCTCTCCCTCTTCCTTTCTGTCTGAAATCAATAAAAATATATTTTAAAAAAAAGATGGAAAGGAGAAAAGTTCCTGCACAGCTCCTATATATGTATTTTTTTCTTTTTCTTTTTTCATTTTGAGGGTATGTTTGTTAAAGCTGGGGACAGTGAAAGGAGGGAAGGCAGAGAGCAGAAGCAGCCACAGGAGAGCTTGGGCGGGGCTGCGTGAGCTCCCTGGAGAGTCAGAGAGAAGGGGGGCCTGGAAGATGGGTTCAGGGGGTGAGCCCAGGAGGAGCCATTGCTCTCCTGGTTGCAAATCTGGGGTGAGGGAACCCTCGGAGTTTAGGGGGTGCAGGCCTGAGAGGGAAGAAGGAGGGGTGGGGGAAGGGAGAGGCGGAGGCGTGCTCCTGGGAGGGAAGCGCCTTCTCCCATATCTGTGTTATTTAGCTTTCTATATTTAAGAACGCTGGTGGGTAGACAATGTTCCTACAGCGCCTTTCTCTCATAATTAGTGAAGCTGAGCATCACTTCGTGGGCTTATTAGCTTTTTTTGGTCTCCTCGTTCGGTGACTTGCTTATGCATGGAATTTACCAGTAAGTCCTTAGCTTGTGTTCTGTGGCTGTCTTACTCATGTGCAGATCCGCAGGCCCCTAAATATTTTAAAGGTGAATCGTTCACTTACTGCATACGTTGGAAATATCTTTTTTTTCTTTCTTTAAAAAATTTTTTAATGTATATTTTTTATTGTTTTCAGAGAGGAAGGGAGAGAGAGAGAGAGATAGAAACAGTGATGATGAGAGAGAATCATGAACCGGCTGCCCTCCTGCACGCCCCCTACTGGGGATCGAGCCCGCAACCCGGGCATGTGCCCTTGACTGGAATGGAACCCGGGACCCTTCAGTCCACAGGCCGATGCTCTATCCACTAAGCCAAACCAGCTAGGGTTTTTAAAAATATTTTTTTGTTGATTTCAGAGAGGAAGGGAGAAGGAGAGAAACATCAATCATGAGAGAGAATCACTGATCCGCTGCCTCCTGCACTCCCCCTGCTGGGGATCGAGTCCCCAACCCCGGGCATGTGCCCTTGACCAGAAGGAATTGAATTCGGGACCCTTCAGTCCAGCGGTTCTCAACCTGTGGGTCGCGACCCCTTTGGCGGTCGAACGACCCTTTCACAGGGGTCGCCTAAGACCATCGGAAAACACATATATAATTACATATTGTTTCTGCGATTAATCACTATGCTTTAATTATGTTCAATTCTGGATAAGATTCCATTTTCAGATACAGTGGGTCCTTGACTTACGAGTTTAATTCGTTCCATGATGGAGCTCGTAACTCACATTACTCATATGTCAAATCTTGAAGTGAACGAGTGAGACACGTGATGCTGGGCTGATGTTGTGGCGTTCACTGTGACGTTCGCTGCGCCCACTAGCGGTGGGGTATCTGAAGCTGGCTCGTACTGAATTTTAGCTCGCAACTCAAAGCAAAAAATCGGCCGAGAGACGGCTCGTATCTCGAAAAACTCGTTAGTCGGGACACTTGTAAGTCAGGGCCCCGCTGTATATGGTTTGTCAATATTTTGTCCAATTTTGTGAGTTGTCTTTTTACTTGCTTGAAAGATGGTGTCACTCTCCTCCCTGTGTGCCTTCCCTTTTCCTGCCTTTCCTCTCTCTCTCTCTCTCTCTCTCTCTCTCCCCTCTCCCCACCTGCCCGTTCCTCCCTTCCTCGCCCTCGCTGCTCTCTCAGGGCCAATATGGAGTCTCTCTCTCAGCCCTGACCACAGCACCCGGCACGTGAGCTGTGAGCTTTTCCAGGCTGTGTCCTCAGAGGTGCCAACCCTGTGCCCGTGTCTTCCAGGCTCGGCATCTGCCGGCTCAGCTCCGCGGCCTGCGAGGGCCTGGCCGCCGTGCTCCAGTCCAACCGCCACCTCCGGGAGCTGGATCTGAGTTTCAACGACCTGGGGGACCGGGGCATGTGGTGGCTGTGCGAGGGGCTGCAGCACCCCGCCTGCAGGCTCCAGAAGCTGTGGTGAGGCTGGGGGCTGGGCATGGGGCTGGGGGGGTGGGGGGAGCTATTTTTTGCTTGT